CACACACACACACACACGCACGCACACACACACACGCAGGCACGCACGCACACAATCATGTCTCCATGTCATCAGAGGACATTAGATTGACTTACATTGATTTCCTGGCCTTAATCAATGTTACTACTTGCTTGACACTAATTAAACGAAACTAATTTAACCTTAACCTGACCTTAAGAAAACCTTAACCGAACCTTAAAACATGCCTTTACCTTAAAATACAAAGATTTACAAATAAGAACATGAGGACAAGTGACTGTGTAAAAAGATTTATATAAGTAATACCTAAATCACACACACACACACAAATATCTATATCTTACTCAGATTTACTGGGATGTGATTTAATTAATTTCACTTCTCTCGTAGTTTCACATCGAGTCTTCTAGATAATGTATAGCAACATTTTGATGACAAATTCTTACATTTGTGCTTCGCATAAAAATACCTGAAAATAAAACATCCAAACGTCATCCGGGAGCTGAGACCTGCAGAGAGTGTGTGAGGGACGAAACACAGCTGCCGCAGGATCAAGAGGTTAAACACAAACAAACTATGAGCTCCCACCACAGAGATACAGTATGTAGTATATTCACATTGAAATAAAACTTGGAATTCCACTGCAGGTGTCTTGTACAACATCTGTGATGGAGATATTTCAGATAGCTGCTGTGGTCACAAAGGAGAGTCTCCTTCTTCTTTTTGGCTGCTTGACTTTTGTTCTCATGCATGACAGATTACTAAGGAGGGTTATGTAACATCTGGGGGGGTGCAGAGGAGAGGGTTTGACTGCAGTATCCCCCCCCCCCCCCCCAACTTCATCTGCAGTGGGACAAAGATGAGAAGTGAAGAGAAGAGGAGATGAGAAAAGAGAAGAGGAGAGAAAAGATGAGAGGGGAGGAGAGAAATAAATGGAAACAATGACGAGGGACAATGGAAACATATAAATAAAATAAAAACAAAATAAAAAGCAAAACGAAGGAACACACACACACAAAACCTGCTCCCATGGCAACTGTTAGCCATCGATCCACAAAACTGCCCCCCCTCCATCACTGCTGGTCAACACAGGTGTCAGGTTTCAGGTAAACGCTGACACCGATGACACGTGGCGGCCAAAAGAGGAAGTCAAGTCGTCACCTATCGCCTCAACATCAGCGGCATGTGACGAGATTGTTTTCACCTGCGAGTCAGCAGAGAGAGAGAAGATCTGCCCTGTCAGAGGAGCTATGTTTAGGATGCTGTGTGTGTCAGGATTGTTATTATGTATAAATTACACTGTATTCAGACGTGTGAAGTTAGAGAGGTCATTTTCCAAAACTGTTTGTCCCAGATTCAGCTCATAAACCACATGGGATGATGGCACTCGGGTTGTCCGCTGCTGTTTGCCAGATCTGGGCCACAAGTAAGCCATGGCAACACCAAAAGAGACCCAGATTTGTTTTGTGCTATTTGGGCCATAATCACCATTTACCACATTGGCCACTTTAGGTTGACATCCTTATTATCCCTTGCCGAGAGCGCAGTGTGTTTACTAGAAAAAGCCCACACTTGTTTTGGGATACTCGGGTCACAAGAAGTCCAGAAGTGCTGCATCATTGCCTGACGTGGCCCACATCTGTTTGTTATCTGGGCTCAAAAGAGTGAGGAAGCTTTCCTTATAGGGACTTTACATTGACCTGCATTTATTAGAGTACAGCCTAATCTTAACCTAACCTTAACCATGACCACAATTCACATGTTACCTCTGATATTAACCAGGAGCTCAGAAATGACATGTTGCCTTATTAGGACAGAGCCTTGGTCCCGATGAGGTCTACTGTTCTTGTATACTTATACCCTAACTGGAACAATCACGACTAAATGCCTAACCCCAAGACTTTCACAAAACATGGTGGAAGGATGAAACATGATCCAAGAAAGAATTTTCTTATCTTCTTCAATGTTGTGAGATAAGGGCTTTTTACATTTTTAACAAATTTCCCACGTATAATAAAATGGATTTTGATTTAATAAAAATAAGGCGTATTTAAGGGACTGTCCAAGAGTGTTTGCTATTTGATGCAGCTTAATTAAATGTAAAGGGAGTTTTGGGACTTGGCGGAGGTTTGCACTCTGCAGCATTCTGAGTTTGACATGGAAACAGTTGTTCACCAGCACCTCTGGAGCTATTATACATGACAGGTTATACCTTGTTTGTTTAATCTGTGCATCAACTGTTGAGCAGAAACGAGTTGACGCATGTTTATCTCGGTGTGCAAAGAGCCAGAGCCGATGGTGACGAAAGCTCAAGTTCACGTCCTCTGTGTTTCCGCTGGGAATTCTGACTCCTTAGCAAAGTGGTGGTACAATTTTAATGAGGAGACTGGTTGGCATAATGCATAACACTTAATTCTAACCCTAAAAGCAAATCTTAAACCACAAACAGCTGTTATGTTGACCTATATATACATGTTCACCCTGGGCAGGTCACCAGTGCAGCTCAGTGCAAGAGAGAAACATTCACACTCACTTTCACACCAAGGGAAAATTTAAAGTCTCCAGTTAAACTAGCCCCAATCTGCAAGTGTTTGGATGGTGGGAGGAGAAAACCCATTCAGACACTGACACATGCAAACTTCATACAGAAAAGGATTCAAACCAGAAACCTTCTTGCTGTAGGGAAACAGAACCAACCATTTTTCCACCGTGCCACCCTTTGGATAGAGTATTCTTTTCTCAGGCAGTCTGTTTGTAGGTTCTCAAGGACAGGACCTCACTATTTCTAAAATCCTGGCTGCAGCCCAGTATTCAGGACATCTCTGTGTGGAAATGCAAAATATTGGTGGGCTTTTATTTTGAAAAGCATCTTTGTTCCATACTTTTTGGGGGGATTTCACTGCAATCACCCCCCCAACAAATCGTATTTTAAAGTAATTGTCTCACATGTTACATCATGAAGTCTGAGTGGAGGCAGAGCACATGCATCTGTGTGTGAACATCAACAACAACAGGGAATGTGCAGATGCTTGTGAGTTCACATAAAAACAATTATTACAATAATCAACCTCAGCTACTAACTTCCACTCTGAAGCAGTGTGTCATGTGTGAGCTCACATTTCGAAAATAAAAACCCCACAAGGAAGCGTGTGAGGTTATATTCACCGACCTGAGACTTAAAATACCACCTGTACCACAGATCGTCTGAGGATGGACGGTGCAATAACAAACCCATTCCAGAGATAACGCCCCCCCTGGGACAGGTTAATATTTGCCAGGTATCTCAGATAGCGAGGGGGGGAATCGTTTCCTGCAATTCCACTCAAAGAATGACCAGCATACCAGGCTGAGTGACTCACTGTTGCCATATAAACTCCAGTTGTGATCGTAAAACATTGTGAAACCTTTTTGCTTCTGTCGGGGGAACAGAGGGAAAACACGGACAGGTGGCTGCTGCGGGAAGAAAACAGGCGGCCCCGGAATTATTCTCGTTTGTGAGATCAAGCCAGAGGTTAAAGATTGTGTGTTTGCTGATGTTTCTACACATCATCACCGATGGAAGCATCGAATAGGATACAGCTGAGAAGATGCAGTTTGTAGGGATCTAACAGAAGTGGAACCTGAGGGAGAAGATTAAATGACAGGAATTAAACGCCGTCAGAGAAACACTTGTTAGTTTTTACGAGGTGCTTCAGTTACAGAAACAGATATGAACATGTCAGGCCCTGCTACATTTGAGTGAAGCGCCATCTTGTGAAATTATGTGGAACAGCAGGAGAAAGGAGAGGGGTTATGGCACAAGTGGAATGAACATAAAACATTGTATATATTTATATTTTCCTTTTATGATGGGTGTGACCAGTTATGGCCACAGGACTTTTTCATAAAGTATTTTGACATGTGAATTTCAACAATGTAAAATGAGCAACTTCAAAATGGCCGATCGAAATTTAAAGCTGGGTTTCAAATTAAAATGTGTCTGTATTACTCACACATGATGTTTAAATGCAACAACTATTCATTGGTGATTGACTTTCAGACGTATTCATTTGCTCATAAAGCTCAAATCCTGCAGCTTATCTTTGCTTCTGTACTTTCACAAGTCACAATGTCTACTGTGGAATTAGGATGTTTAACATACAATTAAAACCAGGATTAAATGTTTTACTGTAATAAGGGAATAGTTGTGTAGTTACGAATGAGTGCTTGTTGAGATTAATGGAGCTTATTGCTTTACTCTGGTCTTTTCTTTAGTTTTAATTTGATTGTTTTGCCTGTCCATCGTTATGCATTTATTATGATCAGACTTTTATTTCAGTTTTTCATAAACCCCTGTGTTTTTGTTACACATTAAGAAAACACGAGTTCAGTAAAACAAACAGCAGCATGCGGTCTACTGTGCATGACTCACTGCTGAGGAAGTATCGATGCTTCCCTCAGCTGGAGAAGAACGATCCAACTTCCTGCTAAAATCCAGCGCTGCAGGTTTTTTCCAGTGTCTCTGGGACATTTCACAACTTCCTTCCACCTGTGGTGAGTTTTTATGATCATGGTTTTACTGAACTTCTCCTAAAATAGATTATATGGGCTGTAATTTTAAATGTACCGAATGGCTGTGCATTAAAAAGATGTCAAAGCAAACTAGATCCTCAGAGACACAGTTTAGCTGCATGAATGAAATCTTAGCTGCACATTTTCACTTTTATGGGAACACACACTGCACACAACACAAACCAGACCAGTCTCTTATGTACTTACTCAACTCAGTTTATTTACAGAGTATTTGAAGAGCCATGTATGCAAATGTACTGAAATTACCGACAGAACTCTTCTTCTTTACACATGGGGAGCTGATTAAAGAGTTTGATCTCTCAATACTTTTGATCTAGATGCTTCATAAATCCAGTGAGTGACTTGGTTTCTCGTTTTTTCAGATTGCTGTCAAGTTCCTCAGTGAAAACAATAAGTTAACTCAGTTGTGTTTTTTTTTTTTTTCCTCTTTTAAGCCATGCTCCTTCTTACAGACGTGAGTAAATGCAGAGGTTAGAAACAGTTATTTAATACTCGGGGGGTCAGGACAGGACACAAACAAATCTAAGCAACACCAAAGCCTGCGATATATTTCCGAGAGAGAGCGAGAGAAGAGAAACAAAAATGTTTTACTACAACGTAACGTTACGGTCCTCCCTCAGATGAGCAATACAGAAGCAAGATGATCGTGAAGGGTCTAAAGTTACTGGACGACGAGTCACACTGATCCCTCTAACGCACTAACACAGTAACCTTTAAAAGGAAAGCTTCAGCGGTTTTCAGAAAGCTATTGAGATTGAAAATAACGCAGAATTTGACGCAGGATTTCCAGCTTTGAGGGAATGTGGATTTTTAGTGAATAGGAAATCTGTAACATTAATTATGAATATTTTCTCGGTGATATCATTCGTTCTACCACAAAAATCCCTCTGGAATCAATTGAATTCACTTGCATAATGGTCACAGATCAATATAGAAAGAGCAGAAGCAGGTTGAGACCCGGTTCGGAAAGTCACGGTGAAAAGAAACGACAACACCTTTGAAAAAAGCCTCAACTATCCCTTTAAAGAAAAGCACTTCAACTCTCGACAAAAAAAACCCCTGAAGAAAACTAGTCCTGAAGTCACTCTGGTTCTGGTACATGCCTTCTGTTTATTTAACTCTGGAAATAAAATAGAGAACAGGCAACATAGATAGCATGGACAGACATAAAAAAACAAAGAAAATAAAAACAGCTCTGATTCCTACACTAAAAAAAGAAAAGAAAATTCGTTCTCAACACATCTGTATACTCTGCTACCTTTCTGGATGGGTCGGGAACGGCTTTTGTTTTTTTGTGTGGAAGTGATTCCCTCACCCTCCCCTAACTGTCTGACCGGGGCTGTAAAGACTCGATTGTTTAACCTACAGACGTGAGAAAACCGATCATTGGAAGACGAAAAAAAACTTAAGAGGAAGGAATTATTACAATTATGTGATATTTTATTCAGGTGGCTGGAAGCGACCGAAAGAACGAAATCTCCCATTTGAAACAGGTGGATTTTTGATGAGTTTAAGCACAATCCTCATCTAATTGGGCTTGTGCATCGAATCTCACAATAATCTGTCTTTTTTTTCACTTCACGAACAATGTTTAGATGTGAAAACTGAAAAACCACATCTGTCTGGGCCATAAATTCACACTAGCCATCGAATAAATGCTGTCAAACATCAGCGGACAAAATTATTTTCCCCTTAGTTGATTAAGAGTCTAATTACGAATCTTAAGTTTCAGATGAAGTTACAGTTCGAATAGGACTGAAAAAACATTTGAGGATGTATTTTTTTATGTAGAACCTTTAAATTGACTTGTTTTATGTCCAGTTCCACAAAGAACACCTTTTCTGTATGTGTATATTAAGTTTCACGTGTGTTGAGTGCCCCCATGAGACGACGTCCACCTATTTAATAAGCAAGTGTTGTTAATTGTCCGTATGTGCAGACATAAAGGTGTAGAAATTCAACTAACCTTTTTGTTGTTGACGGAATTCATTGTATTCCCTAAAAAAATAAAATAAAGGGCAACTTCATCATTCCTTATTTTTAAAAGTGGCGGCGTGTGTGCGGCTGTACTCTTGTGTGTTTGTCGTCATCTCTCACAAAAAGACGGACAGATGTGTTGACAAATCAAGTGTGTTAAAAGAAGGGCAGCTTTAATGTATATTTTGCAAACGTACCAGTATGTGTCTACTTCGGGACAACATGTTGCATGGTAATTTTAAGACTGTAGTGGGGAGGGTGCCATCCTCTGCCCATGCATTTAAATAGCAACACAGAAAAACAAAAAAAAGACTTACACACATTTAACGCGTCTTAGAGGGGAGAATAAGTCACCCAGAGGTCTGCAGCAGTGAATCAATCATTTCTTTCAAATAGATTAGGACTTATAATCTTATTTTTTTTTCTCTTTTTTGTGTCCGTTATATTCAAATGTTGACATAATAGGAGTACATTTTGTGGATCACATTCAGTCGCCTCGTCTCTCTTCTTCTATACTTCACTGGGGCCCGCGTAGAGCCTGGTCCATGTTCGGGCTGCGGGGAGGAGACACAGAGAGATAAAATGCTTGGGGTGGGTGTGAGGGGGGGTGACGCAGGACTGAGGATAAGTGAGTGTTGCAGAGTGATCACAGACGTGCACTATCAAACAGCATCCCGGCTGAAATGACCCTGGACTATTAGCCTATCACAGATATACCGGGATGTTGTCAAATGCACGCTGATATAAAACCGTATCTTTACAGAACATAATGCAGAAACAGTGTCATCACAGTTTGTCCAACAGCGCTGTTGTTTACGATCCTCTCTGCAGCAGGTGTAGCAGAGCACATGCCACAGCTGAGCAGACAGCGGTGGTGTGGAATTAAGATGCTTCGACACGATAAGCAAACTACCGCAGTTTAAAAGGGAATTAGTAAAAAAAAATACAGTAAAAGAGAAATAAACTGAGTCACTAAAAAGGACAAAGAGCAACAACCTCAGGTCTCATGAACAATAAACCGAGAAGAAATCACACCACGTTTGTTACCGCTGCAGAGAGAGTTGTTTTAATCTGTCTATTAGCTGGATTCCTCAAAAACTACTGAACCAATTTCCATGAAGCTTCGTGACAGGGTGGTGCATGACCCTGAGAACAACCACAATACATTTTGGAAACAGTCCTGATGGATCCAGGAAGGTTTTTTCACTTTCATAGGGCATTAGCCTTTGTAGAGGTAGTCGCTCTGAGTGCCTTTCTAGTGTCAAATATTAATGTCTATCAACAGTTGTCTACATAAATAATGTCTACTATTTAGCAGTTAAAACTATCTCACTATCCTTTTACAATCCACACAGCACAACTATCAAGTCTCTGTTTCTTTTCCTTGACTGACCGACCGACAAGACGATCACGGGACAAACACTGAATCCTTCCAACCCATTTTCTCCCGTTTGATAAAATACCAAAGGTTATACTTGGGAAATAAAGACTGCAATAAAGAATTGTGCGGCTCCAGTATATGAGACATTATTTCCTGACTAATTATGACAGTCAGACAGAGAAATGCATCCAGTTCTCAAGCTCGTGTGTGCAGTCAGATTCAATCACCAGCCCCGGCACTGAGAGTGTTGTTTTTGACTCAAACCAGAAAAACTGTGAAGGTAAAACCTAAATTTTGAATAATTTGCGCCAAGTGGATTAAAATTCATAGATTAGAAAGGTTTCCTCAAACTAGAAAACAGTGAATAAAAAAGTGTGAGAAAGACGAGTGATGGAAACGACGATGTGAAAGTGCTCCTCACCTGTCTCAATGGCATGGCTTTCGTTTTTCTTCCACTGCTCTGCGACGTCATTTGCCAGGGGATCATCTGGATTGGGAGCACTTAATAACGCCTGGATAGATAGCAACACTGTCCGGATCTGCAGGGCTGGAGACCACTTATCTGGAGGAAGGGGAAAAAAATGCAAGAGAGACATAAATTACGGTTTATGGGTCAAATTTGAAAAACGAGGGACACTTCAGGGTGACACAGCACTGGTAATAGAGGGTAAGGATGCTTATGCAACCACAGTATGACAGTCACACACAGGCAGAGCCAACCCGGACTGCAACTGCTCTGAGCTCCAATTTTTCCTAAAGCTAAATAATAATGGAAAAAAAAATCTGGCTCCTTCAAATGTTATGAATCAAAATTGAGACAGTAACAAACCTAAAGTGCAGATTAGTCTGTAGCAATGTTCAATCTCTTAAAGCGAGTCTGGCACCAACTCTGCTGTTGTTTGTTGCTGCTCTTACCAAATAAATATCACCTGGAGTTCTTTCAACCTCAGATCTTGATTTAATGGTTGTAATCACATCTGCTTCCAGACGTTTTGTCTCAGCGGAGTGCTTTCTGTTTCTCATTCATCCCACTGCATGACAAGGTAATTGCGGATCTGTTTTGATCAAATTCCATAAGCTGGCTGCCACAATTTAAATCTGTGATTCTAAAACCTTAAACTGCTGCTGTGTACTAGTGTGCTAATTTAGTGTTTCCTATTAACAAGCTTTGACGAGTCTGGATACCCATGATGATCTGGGTTGGTAGTTGTTAGCTAACACATTAGCAATAACAGCCTGTGTATGCTGTACAGGCATAAAAGCCTAAACAGTGATTATTTATTCCGTTACTGGTCACAAATTGCTTAATGTGGATTTAACTGTTTAAAAAAAGAAAAAATCAGCATCCAACCATAGTCCTGCTGTTAATGTGGTTGCCTACTAATGCGCCTAGAACTCATCATGTGTATTTGCAAATATTCTCACTCATTTGTCGCGTTTGCATACCTTTCAAAATGTCTAAACATATTCTTCCCAGTTTGTCAACGTTGGGGTGGTAGATTTTGGTCATGAATCGCACTTTGGGAGCTGCCATGGGATACTCTTCTGGAAGAAATAGTTCAAGTTTAAATGTGCCTCCTTCAAACGGAGAGTCTTGAGGCCCCGCGATGACCACATGGAAGTAACGAGCGTTCCCTTCATCGGGCGTAGCCGTGATCCCTGGAACAGGCTCCGCCATCAACCGCTGTGTCTCCTGAGTGAGGTCAGAGCGAGAAACACACAATGTTGTTGTTGATGTATCTTCAATTTTAGAAAGAACTACGGGAGGTGTCAGCAGACAACAGACCAAGGATGTAATAGATGGAAACATGTCATTTCAACATGCTTGGTCGCTCACAAACAAACATACAGACAAAACCACGTTGCACAAATTATTGTTTGACACAGAAACTAGAAAAGCAGCTGAGGACTTGGGGG